AAAGGTTTTCAATTGGGAGTGGGGCTGTAAATAAGTTTGATGTAGCCTCCTTTTGATAACGTTACATCAGATTCGATTGAATTCCTCTTCATCATTTATTTTTCTTGTATTGATATATTTTTGAGGATTTTATAATTTTTAGGTTTTAATTTCACATTTCTTTAATTCTGATCTTATATTTATTGCATTTTTTCGAACTTTTAGTATTGAATTTAACTTTTTGGGGTATTTGTGTAAAATGGATTCTAAATTTCTTATTTTTGTCTATACTGATCAATTTTCAGACACATATTGCAGAAAAATCCTTTGAAAAAAATGTTTTTAAAGCAAACTTTTCGTGATATATATAGCCTGCGTAAATGTTCATTGTCTGTATGATGGATCAGGAAAAATCATTTAAAAATATCGAAATTCGAATTATTAAGAAAACAAAATAATCACTTTAATTTTTGTTGTACATTTAGTGCAGAGTATTTTAACATATTTGAAATGTTTTGTTACTCAGAACACATTGACAAAAGAGCAAAACGATTAATTATTTTGTTTATAATATTATATTACTTCAGGAGCACATTCAAAGACTTACGGTAGTACAATGCATATTACTAGCCTATCTTTTATACCTTGAAAATTTCTTCCCTGAAATGCTGGAAATTTATTTAATAAATACAATTTCAGTTAGCATACTTTTAAAAGTTTCATTATAAGCTTTTTTCTCATCATTCGTTTGCATGTGAGGTATTTTTATTTTTATTATTATTATTTTGGGGCTTTTACACATTTTCTTGTTCTTTCCTCGATATAAATCTTTGATATTAACGTTTCAGGTGCATTCAAGGCACTCTCACTAAGTACTTACATTCGTAACTTCATCAAAAAATAAGATTATATGTTCGTTCTACTTACCCCCCTTTTTTGTTATGCAAAGAAAATATTCATCACTAAAAGAAGCTAATAATGGTACAAAATATTTTACATGAAACGCATATTCAACATAAATCTCTACTCAGCTTGTTAACTAATGCAGGGTTATTAGCTCCTAATTTTAAATAATACAGGGTTATTTTAAATGATTGACCGTATTTCAAATGAGTATAACTCGCTACAAGTATTAATTTGGTGTGCATCTAATAAAAAAATGAAATCTTCGAGTTTAAGTGTATCACCAAAATGCTTGTATAGAATATTACGTATTTTAGCGGCGTGATATGCTCTGCTTCTCGGTGGACCCGAAAAGACTTGGTGGTTTTTACAGGCCATGGATATATATCACTGGGGGCCCACCTACGACCGAGCGGATAAGACAATCGAACTTTGGTCATTAGGTCCGGGTTATAATCTCGGGATTTAGCTGCATGGGCGTTTTCATGTTTTTAAGTATGTTGTAACGTTAATAGAGCCAATTTCTCTTAAAACGCCCTCCACAAAAGCATCCTACCCTAAACAGATAGGAATAATTTCGTTGGTCCTAACAAATTTAATACAGCCCTGTGTTGTCGGATCTTAATTTCATGGGAGATTTTCTTTTGAGAATACGTCAGTGATGTCGTTCGTATTACATTTGTCAGTAAAACCACATGAATCATAAAAAACCACTTTTTCCTTTTTTATTCTAGAAGCTGTACACCTTGATACCATTGTCACCTTGATATTATTGGTATACTGAATGAAGTCATGTAAAAACCTCGTAAGCAAATCTTCATGAGCTTTTCTTTCATTTCATTTTTCACTTCTCACTCTATACTTGTATTTAAAAAAAAAAAAAACCGCCGTTCGAAATCGGATCAGTTATTTTAAGAAACCATATGCGGTAACTATTCTCTGCGAAATTTAAACAAATAGTCTCTAAGAAAGGTAAACATGTTAATAACATGCTGGTTATCCAGGCTGAAGACACCTATACAATGAAAAATATTCATTATATACACTTCTGGTTTCCGCCATAACCGCGGGATTCTTTCAAAGACCTTTTTTTATCCGTTCTCTCACGTTCGTGCACCACCTAATGACTGGAAACGAGCTTAGTAACAATACCGACAGTCCACGTTAAAGGTTGCACGCGTATTATTGGACTAAAAAACTAACACGGAAAATAAATTTTAACTTTGAATTGCAATAGTTTCTGAGATAAAATGAGGACTACAAGAAATCTGTTACATAAAAATCTCTTGAAGAATGAATTGGTCTTCTCGAGAAGTGTCGTCAGCCTCTAATAGATTCTTTTCTTGGGAAATCATTTTTAAAGCAAAGTCTACCAGCTTAAAACAAACCAACGCCTGAAAGCAAGCATCACGGACATTAAGACTACTATTACAAAAATATGCTCCAGATAACATAGAAGGAGACAGATTTTTAGGTGGATGTTTGCCGTACCACCAACGCAAACTGAAATTCAGTGATGCATTTGTAGCGAAGAGAGGGAAAAAAGTTATAGTTTTCCTTTATAATGTAATTTTTCAAGAAGTAATTTCATTGTTCCTGATGCTTTTTATCAGGATACCTTATATATTTGAAAATAATTCTGTTCAAGTTGACAAAATATTTTCGAAAACTATTGTTTCCGAAAACTATTGTTGTTTAAGCATAAACAAAGAATGCATTGTTTATACTTAACGGAAACAATAGTGTCAACGAACAGATAGAAATATTTTCGTAGATATATGCCTGTTCTCGGTTCGCGATGAAAGGAAGAAAATACGGCGGAGGGTGATGCTAATTGTAAACGGCTGTCACGTTGTTTCCTATTATTAACACTCTAAGAACCATGATGTTTTCAACCGCTAAATTTGTTTCGTAGGCCGCAAAATTGCATGTGCATTTAATATTAAGAATGCTTTATTTTTATTATTGTTATTGTCATCGAAAATTATTGATAAACATTTTTATGGCTAATTTTTACAAGATAATATTGTTAATGCTTTTCTAACAATAACTTTCAAGGATGCAGTTGACATAAATAGATGATTAAATTGAATAAAAATATTGATTATTAAGATGACAGAATAGTTTCTGCACATGGTCATCAAATAGCAAACCATGCTGGTTTAGGAATATATTGTTTTCTGTGTTAACTGGAATTTAAGACAAATTTTTTTGGTATATCACGTTTAACTGGTTAATTTCAGTATATTAATACTAATCGATATTTTAAATGAATTTTTATTCCCGTTATAAATGCTTATATGTCTTATTACATATCTTTTTTCTGTGCTAACTTGAATTTAATACAAATTATTTCATATATCACGTTTAACCGTTAGTTTTACATCTACTCGTATTATCGGTGAATTTTTATACATAGCTTATTATTGTTTTGCTGCAATTTGATTTACATGCACTAAAACACTTTACAATATCCGTTTACGTCTCGGCCATCGCGATGACGCGAGCTTGGCGAGTAAAATGCAACGGCGCCAACTGTTCTCTGTCGATGAAACCCGTTTTATTATTAAAGTCTTATTTCATATTTCTATCGATTTATTTATATTATTTTTGGTTTGTGTAATATTGAACTCTAGACTTATACCTCTCTCGCTCATTAAACTGATTGCTACTTCTGACGACAGATGGCGTCATCATATTTACACTAGCATTTGGCTTATTTTACCTTGCTTTTTTCTAATCTACTCTCGTAAATAAGTCCCCTTGTTTTTATTTATTGTATTTTAATTTCATCATTTGTAGTCATCCCATCCTGTGTTTGGCGCATTTTAATCATCTTTGGTTTTGCGAAAATAAATTCTCACTCACTCACTCACTTTAATCTAAATAAAACTTCTGAAATTCAGAATTATTATAAGCATTAAAACTTATGAATGCGATGTCTAGATACAGGTTAGAAGAATCCAATAAAATATAATATACAATGTGCGACGAAAAATTGCCAAATATAATTTTTCATTTCGTTCAATGTTCAATTCTTAAGAATTAAACGATTTATTAATGTCATTTAAGATTTTATGAAAATTTATATCCAGTTATCGTTTTAAAATACTGTAAATTTACATACATATTTTGTAAAAACTGCTGTGATGAGTGAAAGATCAGTTGATAAACATACAAAAAAACAAAAAAAAAAAATATCAAGTAACACTTAACAACGAGATCGTTGTGTACTAATACCAAAGCAATTTATTTCGTTAGTGAGGGGCACATAAACGCTATTAACAAATTGGTTAAGGAATAAAAATTAATATTTTGTTGGAAAATTTTAATGACTTAATACATTAGTTTTGTAATAAATTCGCATTGAACGGAATGCTGAAAAAATTAAAACCTCATTATGCTATATCGAGGTAATTAATATATAACATTAAAATCATTTTTATCAGCTAGGCATATTAAAATCATGAATTAAATGTACCACGTGTTCAGCCCCTTTTTCCTACTAATTTTACTGTTTTAGAATCGAAAGGGGAAAAATATGCGGTGTATTCTATTTCCGAAGAAATGGCTTAAATGATAAATATAGCACATTAAAAAGCACACATAAAGGTACATTAATACAATTTTAGTATGTATTTCAAAGGATTTTTTATCAATATCAATAATATTCCTTTTACTTACACAAAAATAATTTCCTATTTGTGCATACATTTTACATTGTTACCATAAATCAGAATTTTCTTAAGTTATATATATGGTTGAAAAACTAGAAGGAAAAATGTGCAAAGAGAAGAAATATGCTCGTAAATACGGTATTTTAAATTACAGCAGAAATATTATTCAAAAATGATAGAAAATGCAAATAAGAAGCATTTACATTGCTTTTAAATCGCTGAATTAGTTAAGCAATAAGGACGTTAAATGACTTGGTAGCAAAACTTAATGCGAAAAATGAAAAGCTACAGATGTTTAGATATCAGAAATTCAATAAGAAAATATCCATTAAGACCCTTGAATAAATTTCGCTTCACAAAAGAAATCATTATTAAAGGAATTTTTAAGATTTTATATCATGGGAATAAAGTAAAAAAAAAAAAAAAAAAAAAAACTCTTACTTCTTGTGGTGGGACATCAAAAGACACAGTTCGGAGATCAACTTTGCAGTAAGTGTCTATGCATGGGATGATGAAAAATATACCTAATAAATAAACAGAAGACATAGATTAGGATGCATTTAAAAATTACAAGAATTTTATGTTTGAAATGAAAATAACCGAAATGGCTTGTAAATCGCTGTTTATTAAAGATTTCATTATGAAGTAACAAAAGATTTTCTTCAAGAAAGTATTCTTGAGATTATCGTTTGCAGCTTTTAGGATATATAATTAAAAAAGAGATAGAGGGAGAGGAGGATTAATTTTTTCGAAGAACGGAGAAACAGAAGTATTTTGTGTTATTTGGTACTTAAAGTATTATTTGAAAATGCAAGGGGAGTTTTAATTTTGTTCCTTGAGTTCCTAATATTATTTGACATTTCTCACATTTAATATTAGTTTTGTGTAAGAGAGTTGTTGCGTATTTAAGCCAAGATATGAATGTTTTAAAGTTTACAGTTTTTGGCAATCTCGCTTGCAGTTACTTTGTATCGCCAGCTGTGCCAAAATTTATTCCGGCTTTAGTCACTTTGCTAGCCGGCATAAAATGGGCGCCGTTAATCACATGATTCAGCTTAAGTAGACTAGTTTGCGTATATTCTCAGATTACGTTACATGAATTTGAATTTCATCGGTCGCGCACTTTCATCTGTAGCACAAAGACTGCCTCCTGTTAATTTTAAAAGTTAAATAAAAAAAGACTGAAGTCAGACAGGATAGAAAACTTGCTTCTCAATCCAATAGGGTACAAAGGACAGACATTAAGCTAAACTTCTAGACACAAAAGAACCCCACAAACCGATTTATCACAGATTTTGGTATTGGACTTTCACTGTAACGACTGGTGATCGTTGACGAAATTTCTGCCGACGGTTGACGGGATAATACGTAAGTATCGAATTAACACGTCTTTAATAAACTAATTCAGCAGATAAAATTTATTATTCCCTTTTAGGAAAGTATAGTTTCCTAATTATGTTTAGTATGATATGTTAAATAATCGAAACAATATAAATATATAATTCAAAAGTATAATAATGAAATAATGCAAATTAAAATTTATGTTGAATTTATGTAATAAATCATAATGAATGCGATAAACAGTAATAAATACAGTTACGTGAATTAAAACTTCAATTGAATGCAATAAAGTGTGCGATAGTTATAATTACCGCGATTATTCGCATGGCTCACATCTTTGCTTAATTATTTCGCCTGAATTTTTACTATGCCGTTTTGAAACTTATGTATGCATTCGAATCATGAATATATCGGAATTTTTAAAATAAGTTATGTACTCAAACATTTCTCCCATTTAACAGCTTAAATTTTTTCTTGAAACAGCAGTTACCGTTATGTCAATGTTTGAACTGCCTTGTTGTTATTATAACTGAATTATGAAGTAGCCTGAGATTTTCTTAAACAAACAAAGTCTGCAAAGTTTGCGTGCTGAATCAGAAAGTATACTGTTATGTAGATACTTGAAGAGGCCCTCACCCAAGATGGCTAGCAGAAAAAAAAAAAAAAAAAAAAAAAAAAAATCTTATTTTTTAAAATCTTTGCTCCTTGAGAATCAAGAAATACTATATTAAGCTGATATTCGAACATCCCTCCTGATAAGCTAAATATTGATAATATGAGTAGCCCTTGGATTTTCTTAAATATAGAAAATCTTTATACTTAATGAAATATGTCAGAATAATGCTTTCCTTGATTAAACTATACGCATTTCGTCTTAAATTGCAAAGTTATCTCTACATATAATAAAAGAAAGAGTCTGTCTCTGAATGTGTATCTTTCGTTCCTGTTGCGTGTAAGCATGCTAATAGACCCAGGCCTACGAAATTTGGTACATAGGCGCATCTAGACAAGAGCCAGTGCACCTCAAGCATTTTCAAAACGAAGGGTGATTAGATTATGGCGATTTTTGATGAAAATTGCCTTTTGAATAGTCATCTTGTAGAAATGTGGTTTTGGCACAGTTTTTAATTCAGGCTTTGTACTGACTGCTGCCTGTTTCAAATATAACAAAATATTAATTATCCGCACATCGCAATTTTCTTATTCTAACGCGCTGTGTCTCGGGAGGCCACAGAAAGATTCCTTTTTTTCCCTCTCTCTCTCTTTATTAGCTAAGGCAAAGAGTTTGGATATTTTAAATTATGTCCACAAGCACATTTTGATTGGTTATTGCTTTCGGATGATAGTTTCATTCTTTTTGAAATGTGGTTTTGGCATAGTTTTCATTTATTGCTTTGATACTGTTCTCTTGAAAATCTGAGTTATTGTTATTGCTTGTATTTTTTTATATTATGTTTTATTAATATAATTTTAATTATATGAAAAAGGGCACGAGTTGTTTAGGAACAAGTTCTTAACTCCTTTATACCATTCGAATTCTTAAGATTTTGTTTGGTTAATTTATTTATTAGGATAAGCATTTGCATTAAGGGATACTGCTGATTTCATTGTAATTTTTTTTATATATAATACATTTTGATTCAATTTTTTTATAAAGTTGTTCTGCAGAGTAAAATTCCGTGCAGATTTTTAATTTAATGTTTGGTCTTCCTTTTTTGCATTTTTCTGGTGTATTTAAAAGCCACACAAAGGCTGGCCGCGTAGCGACTAGTGGTTATATAAAGGCGTAAAATACGACAGTAAACACGGCAATTGTTAAAAACTAACTGAAGTACTTTCCAGGCCTTACGCAGAGTGAAGAGGTTTTGGTAAATTTTTCGAAATTTTACTTCCCAACATTGTCGAAAAACTGAAAGAGAGCGCCCTTAAATTGAGTTTTAAACGGTCTGCACTATTAAAGAGATACTTAACTAATACAGCGCTACATCGCTTCATCAAGATTGGAATAAAGTTAATCAACTGTAAATTTGTATGAAAGGCAAGCACACGGCAAGTTTTAGTAAAAATTTATACTTGTTATCCTTTATGTCTTTTTTCGGAAATCAGCAACTGGAAAATTACCGTCCACTTTGGCCTATTTCTTCACCGTTTTTGAATTATTCGCCACAAACTGATAGAAAGTGCGTTCTGCTTTAGACGTGCTATACTGTTCTGTAAAGTTCTACATTGTTTTAATGAGTAAACGAACACTGCGCCATCCAACGGTTTAAGTAAGAAATGAATAGCGGGAACGCAACAACAGCGACGTGGATCTGAGATGAGCTGCGTGATTTCAAAACTGAAACTGTGTAAAAATAATAATATTTATTTTTTCATTTTAAATTCCCTGCTTAGTATGTATGCCAATGATAGCGAAAATGCAACAAAAGCGATGTGTACATAAGATGAGTGATGTGTACTCGAGATGCGTGCAATGAGCGCAAAGTTCTAATATAAACGTTCTGAGTGTTAACCACGTGGGATGGTTTTTCAGAAAACACTCTTCTTTATATATATAGATATAGATGATTTTAAGGAATCTAGCTAGTGCTAATTTCACGGGTCCAACTAATCATTAACAGAAATGAATCTGCGGTTATTGCTTTTAAATCAGTTATTTTGTTCTTTAAATTTTGTTTAAATAAGTTTGAAAAAAGAATTAAATATCTTACGCTTTGATGAACGACAACGCACTGCCGCGAGTAAGATAAACATATTTTAATTCGGGCAGTGGCAACATTTTTTTTTTCATATTCTAAGTAAATAAATTTGTTTATTAAATTCGAAAGATAAATAAACTACGTTTTGTTTACAGCCAGCACAATTCTTATATATCTGTAAGTTTTTTCTTATTAAATTTGAGAAAAATATCTCACGCTATGCAGAATGACAGAACAAAGCTTTTAAATCTTTGAGTTTTTAATCAAGAGCCTGTTAAGTTAATGCGATATAGTTGGTATTCTTTTTTTTTTTTTTTTTTTTTGTCCAAAAGGGATTTGAATCCCGAAGGACTATTAGTTTCGTTTTGGCATTTTGCGTCGGACGGATAAATGACGGTTCACTTTTCAAACTGTTGCCATAAAATGTTAGAGTCCTGCATTAGATTTGAAGAAATTAAATAATGAAAAATCTGCGTAAATGTATGTATATTTCTCACATTGTCATAAAATAACGGTACATAGAGTCATCGAATTTTGAATAACGTAATCCTCCAACTAATATGAGCATGTGGAAGACCAAATTTGAAATTTTGAATTTGTTTTATGATCGATTTCCTATTTTTTAAAACTTTGACGAATTTTTGATTAACAAACTCAAGGATTTCAAAGCGAGCAATGGCAACGTTGTGCAGAAAAAAAACATTTTTATCTCCAGCGCGTGAGTCTCTCTGTATCGGAAATTCTAAAGATATGCTCGTTTTAAAACTATTTTGCGATATTGCTGTTGCACTGATCTTATGGTTTAAGTGCGAGGAACATGATATTTAATAAAGAAAGGTAACACACAAAATGTTAAAAAACGCCCCTTGGACGTAATTTAAAATCTGAAACATTTCAGATTTTTTTTTTATATTTATTTTTTTATAATATGTAGGTTTTTTCGCGTAATTTGTTTGTTTTAACTTGATTTTAATTTAACTTTTATATGTATATCAAATTAGGTAGTTCATATGATTTACGGCTTTAGACTTACAGTGCTATTTTTAAAACAGAGCGATGAAGTTTCCTTTAAATGTTATATAAATAAAATTTATTTACAAAAGAGCTTATAGTGAATTAAATTTAGAAGTTTGGTCATTCATTTTTTTTATCTTACACACACACACACACCAGCTTTTTTCCGGAATAAATAGATTGCTGAAGAATCATAGATATAGTCGTAGCTCAAAGTATCAGACGATAAGTTTAAAAAACAGAATCCATTTATTATTCAGAAGAAAGTAGCAGTTACAAAAATCATGTTTCCGGAGTAAATAAAAAGAAACTACTAATAACTTTTTATATGAAGTTTACTGCATCCTTACATTAAAGAAAAGACCCCCGATATTCCTTTGCGGTCCTTTTATAAGCCTCTGGAAGGCGGAGCGTCCAAGAATAACGTCAGCCTCGTCAGCCCTTCCAGTTCGCTTTAAATATCTCATATCTCCGAACTTCTATAACTGTACGTGTAGAAAAAGGCGGAAAAAACAACTTGACTACGGGCTGTGGATTTTATTCCACGTACTTTTCAAAATAAGACCGTCGCCATTAAAATAGAAAAGAACATACAGTTAGAATTTTAAGTGTATTTTTGACTATGGAATTTTATTATTACATATATATATATACGTAAACATTTTATTTAACCATAATAAAATGCCTAATACTTGCGCAAAAGTTGCAAAGTAATAAAATAGCGGGCTCCGGGAGGTGGTGTTTGAAAAATCTTATGTAGACAGTGATCTTCTTGTTTTGAAGGTCGAGTGGGCCAAACTTCATCAAGATTGAAATAAAAACTGTAAATTTGCATGAAAGACAAACACACGGACACATTTCTTTGCTTATATAGATTAAATTGTATGAACAAACATTAGAAAGAACTAATTAAAATCAAAGAATATTAAATTAGCTTATAAAGTAATTAAAGAAAGTTAAATTAGGTTATAACATAATTAAAGTTATGAATTATTATAAATTCTTTAATTTAGCATCCTTTTTTTTTTTAATTTAATACAATATTTTAATTTAATGAAATTAAAGAATAGTAAATTTTTTAAAAGGTAAATAGCTTGCAAAACTCAAATTTAACTAAAATCGGATTCGAATAAGCTCCCTTCTGGGTTGCAAAACGACAACTCCACGGCGCGAACGAAAACGCAACAAATCGATGCATACTAGCACAGAATTTCTTTTTCCACGGCAGTGTTCTTAGATGCGTTTTCGAAAGAACATTGCACAGTTCCAAAACAAAGCAAACAAGTAAAAGTTTCCGGAAGAACAGACGGTGGTTTAGGCAATGGCATATTGATCGGTCAGAGATATTTTTAGAACTACTTACCCGGTCCTTTAGCACCACCCTTCATAAGACGTCCAAGCCGAAATATCACCGCTCTTTCGTACTCCTGCACGACCTTTGAGAGAAAGAATTAAATCGATCAGTTATCAACATGCTTTGAAAATTTAATACATAGCAAATATTGCAGGGTGTGTCCTTATGCAAGTCTAAAAGGACACGAAAGCTGTAGAAAAGTACAAATTTTTGCCGAGATGATTTTATCATCATTTATTAATGAAAAAAGCACGAAGAAATATTAATAAATATTGGGGGATTCAAAAATAAGGGAATAGTACAGCTCTGTAGAAATTTACTAACGAGTTGCAGTAAACAGAACCAAATTGCCATAAAGATTTGAATGAAAAAATTTTTGTTCTCTGTATGCAATGTAGAACCGCATATATACGGACTAATAAACTAAATCCTATTAATTTAATAGGATAATCCACATAATTGTCTTTTCTTCTTTCTTTCTTCCTTTTTTTCCCTTTCTCTCTCTCTTTTCCCCTCTATATTAATACAAATGAAAGAATTTTTTTTCGTCAGTCATGTTTCATTTCAACTAAAATAAAATATTCAGAGATAAAATTTAAAGATAAAGACATAACGAGTATAAAATGTTTTACTTCCTTATGTTTACTTAAAATGTTTACTTAAAAGATGATTCGTGTGAAAGAAGCAGTCAGTAAGGGCAGAGTTGCAAAGCAAATGATTAAACTCAAAAAAGATAATTTGATAAAAAAATCAGAAATAACAGAAATTCAGACCAATACAAAACAGGAAACAAATTAACTGAAATATTTTTTATATTCTTCCAAAATAAGTCATGAAGATTTCAGCCATACTTTCAGGTTTAATATCCTTTTAAGTATTTATTATTTCAAATTTACCGAATAGAATGCTAGCGTAATAAATAAATAAATAAAACAACAGCTCCTTAAAATAGAAGAAACATTTTTTACAACACTAAAATAGGAGTTCACTTTCCGTAACTGCTTTATGTGCATTATAAAGCACTCAAAAAACAATTTACGAAATCGCAAAAGAAATTACAGATTTATAATTTTAGAAAGTAGAAGAAATATTTATTTTATAATTTTCTTAATTTGTAGCTGAGAAACTGCTAAACTACTTTTAAAATTTTTGCTTTTTACAGCAGAAAAAGTATTCAACATTAAGTAACCATATTTTAGCAGAATAAAACTTAAAGAATAATCAATAGGCGATTTTCTTTATTAATGTGGGCTTTTTCAGTAATTTTTTGTGCTAAAATTACATGAAAATATTCTTCATCTGTAAATTTGGTTACCTTGACGACTGGATTTCAATCGACGATTTTGTATTGAAGAAATATTCCAATACAGAATCCAAATTTTCCGACAAAATTATTTCTTATTTGCCTAATATATTACTGATTTATATTTCAACTAAAATAAACAACGAAATTTTATTTTAATTCATGTAGGCTGTAAAACTAGAAATATAAACTTATTTTAGTATACTTTTTTTATTCCAAAGGGACAATTAGCCCCAGAAGGATTATGATTTCGTTTTGACATTTTGCGTTGATTCACTACAAGCGTTGTTTCACTTTTTAAATTGTTGCCACCAAGTATTATCACCCTGTATTATATTTAAGAAATTAAAATGAAGAATCTGCATAAATAATGTATGTAGTTTCTCGCATAGTATAAACAAATGGTCCTACAGCCATCAATTTTGAATAACGTAAGCCCCAGCGAATATGGGCATATGGAAGCCCAAATTTGAAATTTGGAAATTGTTTATTATCGATTTCCTATTTTGTAAAACTTTAACGAATTTTTGATTAACAAACTCAAGGATTTCAAAGCGTACAATGGCAACCCTGTAAAAAAAAAAAAAAAAAAAAAAAAAAAAAAAAAAAAAAAAAACATTTTTATCTACAGCGCGCGAGAGTGCGTATCGGAAATTCTAAAGATATGCTCATTTTAAAATTATTTTGCGATATTGCTCTTGAACTGAATTTGATGGTTTAAGTGCGAAGAACATGATATTTAATAAATAAAGGTAACACACAAAATGTTAAACAAACGCCCCTTTGGACGTAATTTAAAATCTGAAAACTTCAGATTATTGTTATTTTTTTAAACCCGTGGGAGGCCCTAATCGTCCAAAGACGTTGGACACTTCTAAGACCGGAAGCAGTGATCACTTTATTCTGGAGGCACTTAAGAGGTGGGCCACTGTTGCCTCTATTGAAGAGGGCGAAGGATAAATTACATCCAGACCTTTTCCGGGATTCGAATCCGAGCCCTTCGGTACAGCAGTCAGAATCACTAATCACTTAACCGTTCGGGCGGTTTTTAATATCACTAGAACAGCCGAATTTGAGACTAACCGAAAACCGCCATTGGGGGTCAATTTGACCCTCATAAGAAATGTAAGTAGAAACACAGTAAATGGTTGAAATGATGCTGAAAGGACCACATAAAAGAGTTTTTAGAGGTTTTTATTTATTTTTTATGCTTTAGAATTTTTTTTTTTCGTGCAATTAGTGCAAATTAGCACACAATATCTTTCAATGTAAGATTAACAAAAACAAAAACAAATCTATGAAAAACAAACAAAAGATACAAATGCAAGAAGTGGAAAATAGAACATATGCAAAAAAATTACAAAAAAAAAAACAAAAAAAAACAAAAAAAAAAAAAAAAAATAATTTGGGAATAAACACACAATGTTTTTCAAAGTTTGTTATACATTACCGCAGGTGATAGAATATGAACGCTTGACAGTGACGGCAACACATTTACCACAAATTGGTTTCTGGCATCCCTCACAGCTGACAACAGTGTTGTTTTCTCCCTTGCAACTTTGAAATGCACATTTCTTTCGTTTAAGTGTCTGCATTTGAGCAATTGGAGGGCATCGTAGTGCACCAACTCGTAATTCTTCCACGAGTGCAAGAATAAATTCTCGACGGGAAATAGAGGTGCCCAAGGATTCTTTGAATAAAATCCAAGCACTGAGTGCAGCAATGTCAAGGACGTTGTAAAAAACATGTACAGACCACCTGCGACTTCCACTACTTGTACTATATTTCCTCAGCATCTGATCTGTGCGACATCAACGCCACATTTTGTACTGTTTTAGTAAGTGACAGTGTTCGGTTTTTCTTTATGCTGTCGTCAACGAACACATTACTGTGCATCGTGCTCAGAATCACGACATTCCTTTTGCTCTTGCACCTATATATTGTGAGTGTTTTGTCTTCATTTTTCAGTGCAAAAGATGAATATCGTGCCGAAAGGAAGTGTCACGAGCAATAGGGGGTAATTCTCGCTTATTCAGACGCATCGTCCCGACAATTGTGGTTTTTTTCGCAGAAAGTTCATCTGCAAGTTTCACAGAAGTAAAAAAAAAATTGGTCAGTTGTGACATTGAGTCCGGAAGTTTAGATGTGGTTACAGTAATTTGAGAACTACACTTTCCCCAAGTTGTAAATTAGTTGGTCGTTCTTCATCCTTGCCCAGATAAGGATAACCATTCAAAACATATTTCGATTTTACATCAGTTGCTAGCCAGGATTTGATGCCAAATGCCAAACTTGTCCAGTTTATTCGCCATGTACTGGATAAATCTACATCTTGATTTACAAGGCAAACAATTGTTCATCAACGGTTATTTCTGGTCCAGGATTATAGCATAAATAACAGTTTACCATTAGCTTGTGCCAGGTTTCAGAAGTCACTCTTGTGTACTCAATCCTCTTCCTCTCGGCATTCGCAATGGAGAAAGAATATGCTCCGTTCTGGATTTTATATTTCTCCCCTGAGTAATCGCGATAATGAGCTGCGTGTTTCCTAAATGCGCAGAAAACGAAAACGTGGCATCGGGAATTCGAAAACGGACATTCGCTTAAAAAATATGTCGTTTTTCTTATGAGGGTCAAAATGACCCCAGTTGGCTGTTTTAGGTATATCTGCAATTATTTATTTAAATAATTAACGTAAAATATGAAAAATTGGGCAGAGTACTTGGAAACATTTTAAAAAAGTAAAAATATATCAGCTTCGAAGCTCAGCTAATTGTAAAAAAAAAACGCGGAAAATTGGAAAAAAGGTCAAAATGACCCCAACGGCGCTTCTAGTGATATACTAATAATAATCAAAGAAATTAATTTTTATTTCTTGGACACAAAATGCATAGTTAATTTCTATTCGACTAAAATATCGGAACCATTTTTTTAAAACTATGTAAAATAAAAATATTTTTGGCAGAGTAAACGAAGAATAATAGCCCATATCTCTATGTAATTGCTTTATCATTAAAGTTTCATAGGCTGCTTAAAGTGCGTGCACGTTTAACGTGTATACTAACACGAGCCTTGAAAATTATGAACAAAGCTGCATTTTATTTTTATATTATTTAAATGGTTCGGTTTATAAGATTACGGCAAAGCACTCGAGGGCTATCTGCCTTAAAGGAAAGATGCCTTCGTGGATGACTTTTTAAGGAAACTGGCTCGTATACACGTTACACATGGGGAAAACCACGAAAACACCCATGCAGCCAGCCCATTCCCGGGATTCGAACTTCGGACCGAACTACCAGCGTTCAGCGACCTTACCGCTCGGCCGCTGCTGGGCCTATTATTTAAATGAAAATCAAAATCAAAATCATGTAAATAAATTTAATTAATTTTGTCCTATAAGAGAAAGCAATCTGGATAGGTGAACTTCTGAATGTATAGAGCGCGAATAAAACAATTTAGTCTATTTTATAAGATAAAGAAGTTTTTTTTTTTTTTTTTTTTTTTTTTTTTTTTCTAGTGGCACGGAATTACATAATAAGAAACCCTATATGCTGAGAGGAAAATATATATAAAAAAATTTTAATATGCTGTTTTATATTTTATTTTATTCTTCATTAAGCAGCTTTTCTTCGAAAATAGTAATATGAGTATAAAGATTCAAATTTTTAAACATTTGCAAATCTTAAATAGCATTCTAATTGCCAAAGGAAAGATAAACTAGTTCTTTGTTTAATCAGCAGTAAAAGTCGTCTTTTATTTGACATTAAATATTACTCAGT